ATACTAAGAGTTCAGTTCTAAGATAAAATCTAGGACAGATCGACCTGTCACACATAAAGCCAAACATCCTTCCATGTTAGGTGTCCTAAGAATGTAAAAAACCAACAGCAGCAAAGAACTCTAGACACACAACATAGCTGATAAACAAGTTATCACCTATGCTCCTGGGACCATTCCCAAAAAATCACTCAATTTTATTAAAATTTCAGATGTCTGCACTAGCTATCTGTAAGAAGATGAAATGTCATCCTTCCCTTCGAATTTCCAATCTAAATATTTGCATTTAAAAAGTTGAAAGGATGAAAGAGTTTGTCATCCGAATGCTTTTTTCTCTGGAGTTCACCCTTCATTCTCTGTTTCAGCAGTACTTTAACAGTTCCTTCACAGTAAGAAAATGCACACCATCAGTAATAACAGTGTCTCTATCTTTCACTATGTAAATATGTATTTCAAGACTTTAAAACACAGAGTTTGATCTAGTCATTAAAAACCTGAAAACCTGTTACTGTTAAATTTAGAATCGGCACCTAACTTGAAAATCAATACTGCATATATTAATACCTACAAAGCTATCAAATTATGTCCAAAATAACAAGAATGATTAAAACAAAATCCCTTATATTCACTGAAGAAATTTCTTTCTAAAGAAATTAATCAGGCTATCTAGATGGAATTTGTTTTCACTATTCTATTGTGCAAATTCACAGTACAGTCATCAATTTGAGCTATAAAGAATACAACTACACCTTTAGCAAAGACCTCAGTATCAGTAATTAAATCAACAGAGTAAACATATAACATTTATAAGCAATCTGGTAAATATTTTATTGTGGTTTTCTTCACAAATAATTTTCAATTAAGAAATAAAACTTCAATCTGAAAAAGTTACAGCAGTTTCTTGCACATCTAAAATTTCTAGAATAGTAAAACATTCTAGAACATGAAATTTCTAACATTTTTATCACTGTATGTACTCAAACAACATTAATTTATTCAGATGCTTCATGCATTACTAGAAAACAAATCTGTTATTCTGTTAGTCTATCATCAGAAAGGAAAAGCCATCTAGTGAATACTTTGAAAAATATAAATAATTGCAAGTATTAAATTATTAACTGCAACATGAATACACTGTCTAAAGTACCATTTTAATTTTCTTAATAGTTCCCTTTTTCTATTTAGGCTAACAATGTGAACGCAAGGACCGATTTCAAGCTTTGCCTACGTGACAGATGACTTCTGGCATAGCAAGGTTTCCCGAGGTTGTGACAATACATACATTTTAACACTGTTGAGAAAGCAGAGGCCCTTTTTAAGGACATACTTGTCCTTACCACAAACCTGTAATCTTGCTTCCAAAAGCTTGGTGTCTTGTTTTTTTTTTTCCAAGGTGGGAGAGCAGTGGTGTTAGGTTTATTGTACTGGTGCAAAGCACCACACCACTTTTCTGCTACTGCTCTTTCGACTTGGGAAGCTAGCAGAGTACGCTTATATCAGCAAAGGATCCTCTGCTCCCACATGGTTTATGCCTCTTTTCAAAGCATGTGTGAAATATCTAATAAATGTTACATTCCCCAAACGGACTGCTTTCTCTCTTCCTTGGTGGGCTTGCATTGTTTGATTTCAAGCCAAGGGCTTTGCAACTAGTAAGCAGCACGTTTGCAAAAAAGGAGCGTTAAGTTATGGGCCTGAACTAGTCATTATTAAATCAGCAGGCACTGAATTAAATTCAACCTTCTGTTATATCCCACAAAAATCTCACAGTGGAAGCACCTGCATTACAAATATTATAGGACGTGACTCCACTTGTTAGCAAAATGTTTCTATTTATAGCAACAGGAAGAAATTAGAGCTGTACCCATAAAACATGACCAGAACATAACAGACAGAATCAATCAGCAATTGTTCCTATTGCTAGTTTTGTGATTTATTTTTTCCAGTGCTGACCCATTACAAAAGGATAACTCAGCTTCCTTTATAAGCTTCTCCCTTCAGTCTTCTCTCCTAGAATATAAATGTCATTCGGAAGCTTGAAACCGAAATGTTTTTCTTACCAAATGCTATTTTCCTTCATCATGTGCTGAGAATGAATGGTTCTTCTTGAACATTCAGCTGCTAAAGAAAAAAAAAAAGTGCATATCAAATTTTCATTCTGTCCACTTTGACAAAGGCTCTTTTTCATGTTAAGGCTTATAGGAAAATGAAGATGCTAAACCTCAAAATATAAGTGCAGTTGGACTCATTTCTCCACCTGTGCAGATTCATGATACTCCTTTTAATGGATTTCTTGAGAAAATGAGGCGAAGAAAAAATTATGCAGATGCATAAAGAGCAGAGTATACCACAGGGAAAATGCTGGTAGAATAATGAGAGTTGGGATCCTAGTGCAGTCATATTTTGAATATTTTGCCATGCCTGTCTTCAGTGACATCTCAGTCAACAACCGAATACGGGTCTGAACAGACTGCTTTGCTAGCTGGCATGTCACTGGGAATTGTCATCAGTGCTTAAAAGATAAATTACCCTGAATTAAAAGGTTTAAAGCAGTTGTGCAAAACTTAAATCACTTTTTGGATGTCAAAAGTATTGGTAATATTATGGCTTGCTGAAATAATAATGAAAAAAGTCACATGATCTAATATAAAGCTACCTTGGATAAAGAAAGATCTTGGAGTTTTCTGTTTCTTACCTGGCAACAGCGCTTATCCAAAACTCTTTAGGAAAATATATTTAAACTATGTTAATTCCTTGTGCTTTTCTTCTAAGAAAATTTTAAGCTTATTACATCTAAAACTAGTTTTAAGAAAGCAGTTGAACCTTGGACAAACCATCCTTTCTGTTTCTTAGCTTCACAGCCTTCCCTGAAGATTTCCCTACTACTTCAGTCTAAACATTTTCTGTGAAACATCAGTGACAACCGTGTCATGCAGAACTTTGGGGGTTTATGTATACAAACCACATTTTAGAGGCATTTAGTACTGCACGTGTTTTATTGAAGAATGAATGAATAAAACAGCCTCACTAATTAAGCTGCTCTGGAAATAGTAATCAGTTGGAATTTCAGGTGTCAAAGCAAAGTAAGATTATAAAATGTGCTTCAAAAGAGCCATTAAAATAATGTTACTTTAAATGTATAGTTTTTAACCAAGTTCCGAAGCACTTCGGGAGCTACTTTTTAAATGTCTTCTGAGTACCACTGTTAACCGTTTTGTAAAAGGAAAGGAAAACAAATTTCAATCACTGTTTATGGAAGGGGATTTAAGATTAAATAATCCATTATACAAAGCAGCAAAGCATTCACTGTTGGTCAAACACTGTAGAACGTTGTTCAACACAATACTGACACATGCTAACTGTTACATCCTAATAAATACACATGTAAGCATATGGCAAAAAGTATTTTAAAGTAGCCATCACCAGGTCTCTAAATAAAATTCTATTACACTGACTTTCTATGATACAAAAATAATAATAATCTTTAGAATAATAAGTGTAGTACAACAGTTACATTTACTCACTATACAAATAGTCCGTTGGTGAGAGATCGAGATTAAAGTTGTTGCCTATCCTTACACAGCGGCTCTATAAATGCATGTTATATTAACACATCACAGATAATTGCTTTTACTGTAGTTACTTTAAAGTATCTGTTAACAAAACCCAAGAAATTAACCAAGAAATGGCTTGGTTGATATGTATTTTATCTATTATATTACAGGAGCATCTTAAGCAAGGATGATGCTCTACTCCTCTTGGCACTGTACAACTGAGTGTAAATTGATAATCTCTAAAATGACCAACACAACAAAGTACACTGCATAGCTCTTGTAAATTTTAGCTTCTTACATAAACTATCTTATGTATACAAAGTATGAATAGTTTGCATAGTTGCACAGTAATAGTTATTCACACTGGGGTTTTTACACTGTTCTTAAAACATGGGCAGCTAACATTCAGACCAGCAGTCTGCTTTATAAGAATCCACAAACTTAATTCATATGCTGTTAATCAGATATTGCTCAAACATAAGTTACAGAAGAAATAGGCTGTCACTTAACTTACATTAATTGTAAAATACACTGATTTATCAAAACATTGATTGTACTTAATATTAATTCTTTTACTTTTGAGAGCAAATGTACAAAACTACATTTAAAACAAACAAAAAAAATCACTGCTATTAAATAAAGCCAATTTAAAGCAATAGAAAATTAGTGTGAACCAACTTGTGCTACTTGCTTTGTCTGAAGTTGCAAGAAGAGAAAAATGCATTTGAATAATACTGATGCTCAAAATTGATTACATTTCTTCTGACACTTTAAGGACTATTTTGTATTTATGAGCTCTTACCAAAGACGTGTATCTATGAGAAAACTGTCACTTCTGAAAGCAAAGGGAATTAGCCAGTAATTCATGAAATTTTGGCGATGCTCAAGAGCTTCAGCTAACAGTGACCATGGAAAAAGCTCCACAGATATACTGATAGATACCAGTTCACATCACACTTTTACAGTTCGTGTAGTTTTTTTCATTAAAAATCTATAAATGGATTAGAAAAAGTGCATTAATTATTGGTGGCCATCAGAAGGTTCTTGCTAATCTTTTCATATGTCATCAGAGTTGCATATAAAATGATGCATTTTTAAATTTTTTCTCTGCATGCTTTATCTATTTACAAGAAAATGCATTTCCAAACAATAAGCATGAGTAACATAAAATATTGAAATGCACCTGTTATAAGATTTAAGATAAATGTAAAGTTCCATCAAGTTACTTGATGTAGATCACTGCTGAACTTCATGAGTACCAAGAGCTTAAAATGAAACAGTAAGCACTTAATAAGTGCTGCACTGATTTACAAGCCTGAAGCTCAGCGACTACACGAGAGCTGCATTTAATTTAGTTCAGGTCATGAAAGTATGTTTTCTTTATAATAAACAATTCCATTCAGGTACAATTTTCTTTAGCTTACAAACTCTGCAATTTAATTTGAACTTTGGGGTTTATTTTAATTTGGTAGGGAAGACCTTATGAAAATTCTATCAGTTTGTACCTTCCCAGCAAGGTAGACCGTAGCATCTGTTTCAACATTTTGCAGTTGTTTCGAGAGAGCAGACCAGGGGTTTTTTTTGCCAAGTGAAACTGCTCTCATCATTGACCGATGTAATTCTCCTAGCATATTTCACAACATTGTCGAACCTTTATGCCTCTAAGCTACACATTTGTATAAAATTTTATTCAGATTACTACTACTGGGCTATTACTTCACAGCTATCCACATTCTTAGATGTCCATACATTTCTCATCGAGCAGCAAACTTTAACACAACAGTTCTCGTAAGACTGTTTATTGAATTTAACAGTTCAGATGGAGTTTAGATGCAGTTTGTATAAAAACCCTCTTTTCACATAAACTGCAATCAAAAATAACTTTATAAAATAATAAGAGACTTACTGAGATCTTAAGTTTCCTAACATGTAAAACTATAAAGCATTTGTGCATGCTCACTATTTGAATTCCTTCTTTTTAACAGAGGAGTTGTTAAAAGGAGTTTGTTTTTTTAAATCTCAAGGTAGTCTGTGAAACGGAATCATTGTCATTGCAACTTGGATACACAAGATCAAAACTGGCACAGAGAAACATAACAATTTTTTCCCCAAAAAGTTGAGGCAGCTTTTGTTGAATGGTGTCTGTATCGGTAAATTATTTTATGAACTCTGGTGGCTTTGGAGCATCAGAAAGAATCCTTTTTATCTTTTGTTGAAAAAAAAAATTCCCACAAGTACAGACAGGTAAGGAGGAAAAGAAGTAGCAGCTTGTTTCCTACATACAGCCCAACGCCATGCGCAGCTGTCCAGCATCTCAAAACAAAAATGAACTTGACATCACAGGGAGGCATATCCCTCTCAAATTACAAGCACGTCTGAGATTTCTCAGAGAGGGAAGCAAGCAGAGGGTAAAGCATAAGTCTACTTTTCATGCATAGCTACTGTGCGCTGCCCCGCGTCCATGGCGCTTCGTCAGACGTCCGAGTTGGAGCTGAGGTTTGTTAACCTGGGGTCTGCATTGATCTCGTATCTGTAGTGGTAGCCCTCCATGTGATCCCTACAGGCATCTCTGATGTTGTGCATCCACTTTTTGATTCCTTTTCGGTTCAAGTACAAAACCAGGAGGAAAATGGCCCCGATGAGAGCCAAGACTATCCCCAGGAAGACGTAGGAAGTCTGTAGCTGGGAAGGCAGGTCTACGGGCACGGAGCAGTTCAGATCCGAGCCGTTGATCTTCAGCAGGGCTTTACCCAACGTCTTGTCGGGGTAGGCGCAGGTCAGAGCTTCTTTGCCCTCGGCCTGGTCACTCTCCTTGAGCCAGGCCACCAGGTCCTCGACGGTGCAGTCGCAGACCCAGGCGTTGCGGCCCAGGCCGACGCGCCGGAGGGCGGGCAGGCCGCGGAACTGGGCCTGGGTGCCGTTCCTCAGCACGCCCAGGGAGCCGTCGCTGAGGTTGAGGCTTTGCAGCTGGCCCAGCCCCTGGAAGGAGACGTTTCGCAGGCCCACCAGGGAGCTGTTGCTGAGGTCCAGCTGCCGCAGGGCGAGCAGGGCCGTGAACATGCCTGCGGGCAGCAGCAGCAGCCCGTTGTCGGCCAGGTCCAGGCGGCTGAGGTTGCGCAGGGCCCCGGCCTGCAGCATGGTGGCCAGGCTGAGGAGGACGCCGTGGTCGCGCAGGGCCCCGCGGAGGGCCAGCTCCTCCAGCGAGCTGCCGCCCTCGCCGAAGGCCTGCGGGCTGAGGGAGACCAGGGGGTTGCCGCTGAGGTCCAGCTGCCGAAGGGCGGGCAGGGCCGCGAGGGCGCCGG